TGCCTCTGCCTCGCCCCCTCCCCCTGCCTCTCTGTCTCTGCCTCTGCCTCTCTGTCTCTGCCTCTGCCCCTGCCCCTCTGCCTCTGCCTCTGCCTCTCTGCCTCTGCCTCTGCCCCTCTCCCTCTGCCTCTCTGCCTCTGCCTCTCTCTCTCTCTCTGCCTCTCTCTCTCTCTCTGCCTCTCTCTCTCTCTCTGCCTCTCTCTCTCTCTCTGCCTCTCTCTCTCTCTCTGCCTCTCTCTCTCTCTCTGCCTCTCTCTCTCTCTCTGCCTCTCTCTCTCTCTCTGCCTCTCTCTCTCTCTCTGCCTCTCTCTCTCTCTCTGCCTCTCTCTCTCTCTCTGCCTCTCTCTCTCTCTCTGCCTCTCTCTCTCTCTCTGCCTCTCTCTCTCTCTCTGCCTCTCTCTCTCTCTCTGCCTCTCTCTCTCTCTCTGCCTCTCTCTCTCTCTCTGCCTCTCTCTCTCTCTCTGCCTCTCTCTCTCTCTCTGCCTCTCTCTCTCTCTCTGCCTCTCTCTCTCTCTCTGCCTCTCTCTCTCTCTCTGCCTCTCTCTCTCTCTCTGCCTCTCTCTCTCTCTCTGCCTCTCTCTCTCTCTCTGCCTCTCTCTCTCTCTCTGCCTCTCTCTCTCTCTCTGCCTCTCTCTCTCTCTCTGCCTCTCTCTCTCTCTCTGCCTCTCTCTCTCTCTCTGCCTCTCTCTCTCTCTCTGCCTCTCTCTCTCTCTCTGCCTCTCTCTCTCTCTCTGCCTCTCTCTCTCTCTCTGCCTCTCTCTCTCTCTCTGCCTCTCTCTCTCTCTCTGCCTCTCTCTCTCTCTCTGCCTCTCTCTCTCTCTCTGCCTCTCTCTCTCTCTCTGCCTCTCTCTCTCTCTCTGCCTCTCTCTCTCTCTCTGCCTCTCTCTCTCTCTCTGCCTCTCTCTCTCTCTCTGCCTCTCTCTCTCTCTCTGCCTCTCTCTCTCTCTCTGCCTCTCTCTCTCTCTCTGCCTCTCTCTCTCTCTCTGCCTCTCTCTCTCTCTCTGCCTCTCTCTCTCTCTCTGCCTCTCTCTCTCTCTCTGCCTCTCTCTCTCTCTCTGCCTCTCTCTCTCTCTCTGCCTCTCTCTCTCTCTCTGCCTCTCTCTCTCTCTCTGCCTCTCTCTCTCTCTCTGCCTCTCTCTCTCTCTCTGCCTCTCTCTCTCTCTCTGCCTCTCTCTCTCTCTCTGCCTCTCTCTCTCTCTCTGCCTCTCTCTCTCTCTCTGCCTCTCTCTCTCTCTCTGCCTCTCTCTCTCTCTCTGCCTCTCTCTCTCTCTCTGCCTCTCTCTCTCTCTCTGCCTCTCTCTCTCTCTCTGCCTCTCTCTCTCTCTCTGCCTCTCTCTCTCTCTCTGCCTCTCTCTCTCTCTCTGCCTCTCTCTCTCTCTCTGCCTCTCTCTCTCTCTCTGCCTCTCTCTCTCTCTCTGCCTCTCTCTCTCTCTCTGCCTCTCTCTCTCTCTCTGCCTCTCTCTCTCTCTCTGCCTCTCTCTCTCTCTCTGCCTCTCTCTCTCTCTCTGCCTCTCTCTCTCTCTCTGCCTCTCTCTCTCTCTCTGCCTCTCTCTCTCTCTCTGCCTCTCTCTCTCTCTCTGCCTCTCTCTCTCTCTCTGCCTCTCTCTCTCTCTCTGCCTCTCTCTCTCTCTCTGCCTCTCTCTCTCTCTCTGCCTCTCTCTCTCTCTCTGCCTCTCTCTCTCTCTCTGCCTCTCTCTCTCTCTCTGCCTCTCTCTCTCTCTCTGCCTCTCTCTCTCTCTCTGCCTCTCTCTCTCTCTCTGCCTCTCTCTCTCTCTCTGCCTCTCTCTCTCTCTCTGCCTCTCTCTCTCTCTCTGCCTCTCTCTCTCTCTCTGCCTCTCTCTCTCTCTCTGCCTCTCTCTCTCTCTCTGCCTCTCTCTCTCTCTCTGCCTCTCTCTCTCTCTCTGCCTCTCTCTCTCTCTCTGCCTCTCTCTCTCTCTCTGCCTCTCTCTCTCTCTCTGCCTCTCTCTCTCTCTCTGCCTCTCTCTCTCTCTCTGCCTCTCTCTCTCTCTCTGCCTCTCTCTCTCTCTCTGCCTCTCTCTCTCTCTCTGCCTCTCTCTCTCTCTCTGCCTCTCTCTCTCTCTCTGCCTCTCTCTCTCTCTCTGCCTCTCTCTCTCTCTCTGCCTCTCTCTCTCTCTCTGCCTCTCTCTCTCTCTCTGCCTCTCTCTCTCTCTCTGCCTCTCTCTCTCTCTCTGCCTCTGCCTCTGCCTCTGCCTGTCTGCCTCTGCCTCTGCCTCTCTGTCTGTCTCTGCCTCTGCCTCTGCCTCTGCCTCTCTGTCTGCCTCTGCCTCTGCCTCTCTGTCTCTGTCTCTGCCTCTTCCTCTCTGCCTCTCATCCCCCAGCCCACCCAACCACCCAGCCAGCCATGAGGAATAGCAAAAGAATGATATACAGAAGGAAGAAAAGGAAAAAGCACAGAGGCAAAAGGTAGTCAGAATAATTTAAGTAAAGAAAAGCTAGCAAGCCAAGCTAAGGGTAGGCATTTTTTAAGTAATTAAAAAAGAAAGGACAGAGGCTTATTCAGCTATTGAGATTTTTCTA